ATGGTCCAAGGCCGGAGAAGGGCAATGAAAGTAAGGGTCCTAAACGGTGGCTGGGGCAATGGGCTCCCCACTGGGCTAAGGAGACGCCTGGGCAGGATTCTTCCCTCAACTCAGCAACCCAGTGCCCATTCTCCCTTCCAAGCTCCACTCTGCTTCTCCAGACCTAAGCCAGGTCTCCCGGACGCTGCCGCTACCGCCGCCGCCGCCACCACCCAGAGCCAGCGCAGACAAAAGACCAAAGCAAAAATGCCTCAAGCAGGAGCGGAAAGGTGCTAGCCAATCAGAGGGTGAGGGCGAACCTGGCGTTTAGAAACGCAGCCAATGAAAGAGCGAGAGTGCTGGCGCTTCCTGGCCAATCAGAGCTGAGGGCGACAGCACACGCTACGTTGGCAGGAGGGACTCTAATCAATAGCCGCTGTAGTTCTCAGCAAATTGGAAGCTTGGCTTTCCCTGACGCAGAAAATGATTGGTACCTTTTCTGAACTTGCCTGTCAATTTTAGAAAGTGAGGAAAAGATATCTTGGCAACACAGACCCCGCCCCCTCTCGGCACAGAAACAGGAAAGGGCGGAAGTGGGGAGCTTAAAACGCGGACTATGGTATCTCAGTCGGTAAGGCGCCGGCCACAAACACCGAGGCTGATGGGTTCGAACCCGGCCCAGTCCAGCTAAAACAACAATGACAACTGCAACAACAACAACATAACAGCTGGGCGCTTTGGAGGGCGCCTGTGGTCCCAGCTACTTGGGAGGCTGAGGCAAGAGAATCGCTTGAGCCCAAGAGTTTGAGGTTGCTGTGAGCTGTGATGGTACCACACCCTACCCAGGGGGACAGCTTGAGACTCTGTCTCTAAATAAATAAATAGTAAAATAAAAGGGTGAGTAGGTGGTAAGTAGGCGAAGAGTAGGACCCTGATCACAGCAGTAGGAGAAACAATGGAAGAACAAGCAAGAAGGAATCTTGTCTCAACAAAGGTTAAGCAGCTTGCTCAAGGTCACAGCAACCTCCAGCTCTTGGGCTTAGGTGATTCTCTTGCCTAAGCCTCTGGAGTAGTTGGGACTGCAGGCGCTCACTACAATGCCTGGCTATTTTTTGTTGCAGTTTGGCCGGGGTGTGTTTGAACCCGCCACCTTCGATATATGGGGCCAGCGCCCTACTCAATGAGCCACAGGTGCCACCCTAGAGAGGAGATCTGAACCCTCACTTCTGACCCCTGTCTAGACATAAGCACCTTCTTTGGGATATGAGGTGTCCAGATGGTGGATAGACTCAGACTTGAAATCTGGAGACCTGAGTTTTTGTGGGTTTTTTTTTTTTAATTGCAGTTTTTGGCCTAAGCCGGGTTTGAACCTGTCACCTCCAGGATATGGGGCCAGCGCCCTACTTGAGCCACACGTTTCGCCTGAGACCTGAGTTCTTATCACAGCTCTCTTGATAAAAATCCCTCTACTTGGGCCACTCACTCGGCCGCCAGCATCCTCTAGCACAGGGTGATCCTAGTCCCTTGAGAGTCTCATCCTTAAAATAGAATGTTGTAAACTTCTTGTAAGAAGCCCAACAAGGGGCTGCTCAAGCTGAAAACTGCACCACCTTGGACTACCCCTTACCTACTCCTAGCAGTCTAGCATCAAATCTTGATGGCCCTTCCACCAAAATATCCATTCATATCCATTCATATCTCCTATTTCTACTCCCCCTGCCCTCCTTGGAGTCGCAGCCACTCCTCTCCTGGATGACGACAGCATCCTCCCTAGTCTTTCTACTTCCACTCTTGCTTTCCATTCCAATCCCTTCTCCAATCTGCAAAGTGCTTGTTTTACAATATAAGTCAAATAATGGCACTGCTCTATTTACAAATGTTCAAAGTAACTATTCTCATAATTAAAAAATAGAAATAAAAAGGCTGGGCACAGGGATTGCTTTAGCTTACGACTTGGAGACCATCCTGAGTAAAAGCGAGACACTGTCTCTACTAAAATATAGAAAAATTGAAGCAAGAGGATTGTTTGAACCCGAGTTGGAGGTTGCCACCAGGGCAACAACTTGAGACTCTGTCTCAAATAAATAAATAAATATCTTTATTGTGCCTAGGAGACCCTACGTAATCTAGCTCCTTCTTGTGTCTCAATTAAAAGCACAGACTCATGCCTGTAATCCCAGCACTTTGGGAGGCCAAAGCCGGAGGATCGCTTGAAGCCAGGAGTTTGAGACCAGCCTAGATAACAGTGCAAAACCCCTACAAAATATTAAACTAGTTTGGTGTGGTGGTGTGGATTTATAGTCCCAGCTACTTGGGATGCAGGAGGTTGAGGCAGGACTATGATCGTTCCACTGCACTCCAGCCTGGGCAACAAACAACAGCAACAACAACAAAAAACAAAAACCACAAGCACAGACACAAGAGCCTTGCTGCCTGGCTTCAAATTCCAATTGTGCCACTCTGTGACCTTGGGGAAATTACTTCATCAATGTAGAGAACTGTTTGGTCATCTGTGAAATTACGATTGAAAGAGTTACTATTGTTCAATTAAAATAGACCTCCACTTTATATAATGTACTTGGTACTTAGTACTCTTCAAAACTGTGAAGGTTATGAAAAACAAGGAAGGACCAAGAAACAGCCACAGATCAGAGAAGACAAACAAGACAGGATGACTAAATAGTGTGATATTTCAGATTGGATCCTGGAACACGAAACAAAGGATATTAGTATAAAAACCGGTGAAATCGGGGCAGCACCCATAGCTCAGTGGGTAGGGCACTGGCCACATACACCCAGGCTGGTGGGTTGGCATCTGGCCAAGGCCAGCTGAGCAACAACGACAACTGCAACAAAAAATAGCTAGGCATGTGGCAGGCGCCTGTAGTCCCAGCTACTTGGGAGGCTGAGGCAAGAGAATTGCTTGAGTCCAAGAGTTTGAGTTTGCTGTGAGCTGTGACGCCATGGCAACCTACCCAGGGCGACAGCTTGAGACTCTGTCTCAAAAAACAAACAAAAAACAGTGAAATACTAATAAAGCATATGGAATTTACTGTTCTGTTGGTTTCTCAGTTGTGACCAACGTATGACAATATAAGATGGTACCATTCAGGGAAGTTGAATCATGAGTATGTGGGAACTCTGTATTATCTTTGTAACTTTCTGTAAATATAAAAATATTCCACAGTAAACCTTTTTCTGAAAACAAAAAACTTTCCCTTAGCTGACTCCTATCCAGTCCCTCAAACACTATGCTTGTTCTACTCTCAGAGGCTGTTCCTTCCATCAAGAATATTCAACTGTAGTCCCAGCTACTCGGGAGGCTGAGGCAGGAGACTCGCTTGAGCCCAGGAGTTGGAGGTTGCTGTGAGCTGTGATGCCACAGCACTCTACCCAAGGGACAACTTAAGGCTCTGTCTAAAAAAAAAAAAAAGAAAAAGAAAATTCAACTGGGGCCGTGCCTATGGCTCAGTGGATAGGGTGCTGGCCCCATATACCGAGGGTAGTGGGTTTGAACTTGGCCCTGGCCAGTAAAACAGCAGTGATAACTACAACAAAAATAGCCGGGCGTTGTGGTGGGCAGTTGCTGTGAGCTGTGATGCCACAGCACTCTACCGAGGGTGACAAATTGAGACTATCTCAAAAAAAAAGAAGAAGAAGAATATTCAACTATTGTTCTGGCACCTTCCACAACAGCCTTTCCTGACCACTTTACCTAAAATATCCCCTGGCCCTGATTTCACATCTTCAGGTACTTATTCTTATAGAAAATGTACTATTTATGTCTCATCTGTCTTCCTCAGCATACAAGTCCCTGAGAGTAGGGTCTGCATCTGTCTTGTCCCCAGTGCACAGGCTCGAACCCAGCACGTAGCAAGCACTAAATAACTATTTCTTAAATGACTGGATATAAGAAAGATAATGCTTTTCAATAAATAATGCCACAACTGGCTCTGCACCCATAGCACGGTGGTTACAGTGCCAGCTGCATACACCTACGCTGTCAGGTTCGAACCTGGCCCAGGCCAGCTAAACAATGATGACAACTGCAACAACAACAAATAGCTGGGTGCTGTGGTGGGCGCCTGTAGTCCCAGCTACTCGGGAGGCTGAGGCAAGAGAATCGTTTAAGCCCAAGAGTTTGAGGTTGCTGTGAGCTGTGACGCCACAGCGCTCTACCAAGGGCGACATAGTGAGACTCTGTCTCAAAAAAAAAAAAATACTACAACTACCAACAACAACAATAAGTAAATCTCATTTACTCAGGCTAGTTGCAGTACAGGCTCTGTGTCTACTACTTTACACCTGTGATATCACAAAATTAGCCCCATTTCTCAGATGGAGAAACTGAGGAGTAGAGACTAGGCCAACCTAGGGTCCAGTCAGAGACAGGGCAGAGTGGAATCGAGGAGGGCAGGGGGGAGAGAGAGCGAGAAAGAGAAAGAAGGTGACCTTAGACTCCTGGATTTCAGAAAAGAAGGAGCCCACGGGTGTGAGGGAGGAGGGTTTGGGTCTTGGGATAGTGATGGGAGTACGCTCAAAAACCCGGGCTTAGGCTCGGCGCCTATAGCTCAATCAGCTAAGGCGCCAGCCACGTACACCTAAGGTGGCGGGTTCGAATCCCCAGCCCGGACCTGCCAAACAACAATGATGGCTGCAACCAAAAAATAGCCGGGCG